CTCTCCTTATTTTTACACAAAGAGAGTGGAGCTAAGTATTTTATCATCGCAGTTGACAACATTACTATTCCAAAGCTTCATGACCAAGGATTTTAGTCTTTTGGTTACCGAATCTACCCTTTTCAAGTATTAACTTGGTCTGCTTTTACGACAACTATGGTTGAAATTGCTATTCCTATCAAAAGTAGATTTTAACCCTCTTTTATTAAGTTATATACCTGCATTATTGGTAAACCTAAAACTATTTCCTTCATTTTAAAGGTTTCCCCTAGAAATTGATAAGAAGGAACTGAGGGATTGTAGGGACTGCAAGACTTCCAAGGGCATAACTAGGCCTCCTCTTTCCATTTCAAAAAGATTGAGATCGAGTGGATCTCCTACATCAAGGATTTCTCCTACTTCCTAAGTCCTCTCCTAACACTTCCCAAGCCAAAAGAAAAAAAGAAAAAAATTGCTAAGGATAAGACACCTACACTTGAGTTTGTTGAGGGGGTTCCAAACTTTGTCCTACTTCCAAACCTGGTTGTGGCAGTTTCACGAACATGTGGTACAATGACAACTTTGCTCTAAAAAGGTTCTAGAACTTTGTGACACATCCATAGGTTCAAGATGTTATAAGGCTTGGAACAATGGAGATGTTCAAGATGCTACCCCATGCACTTTATAGGGTAAACTAAACTTTTTTGAACCTCTCTTCAACTGTTTTCCTACTTCCTTTTTAGCTTTTTAGCAATTTCATATTCATGCCCCTATCTGGTTTCTATGTTGGCTACAAGTATCACTTGCATATTTTTTCAAATAAGGCCCATGGAAAGAGAAGGTTAACAAACTCTGGAATAAACTATTTATGCTAAAAAGAAGCAGGTGGCTTGGGAATAGGAGTTGGAAAAATTTTACTCTTAATTTGATAATATCCAAAACTCCTTAGCAAGTTAGCTATCTCTTAAAATCAACTTGGAGGAAGCCTTTAGGGCTTCTGCAAAAGAGATGAGCAAGACCAGAGCTAGAGAGAAGGAGCTCGCTAATTAGTTGGGGGCCTTTATTGAGCATCCTCAACGCCAGGTTCATAAAGCCAAGGCTATTGTTGTTGCCAATTCGATCAACAGAGTCCACCTAGTTTGGAATGGGCTATTTTGAAGAAGGATTTAAGGAGTTCCTCCATCACACTTCCAAGAAGTTTTTGAACTTGAACTTCTCCAAAATTAAATTGAATGATGATGATGTACCACCAGAATAGGTTGTAGGTGAGGCAAGGAGCGCAATTGATAGCCAGGCTGCATCAACAAAGGATAGAGGAGATTGAAGCTCTTTTCATGAACACTTTACATGTCTAAGTCTTTTTCTTGCTTTCTTTTTTGAATCTTTGTACAGACCACCTTCAACTCCTTTCGAATGCAAGTAGCATTTCTTTTTTGTCTAGTTTTAGAGCTTTATCTCATAGCATTTTTGTATGTGTAGTTTACAGTTTTGGATTTATACCTTTGCCATGCTAATTGGTTTCTGCCATATATTCAGGCATTTAGATATTTAGCCTTGCTCTCAATAATTTTGTTTTTTGCATTAATTTAGAGGTTCAGCTTGCTAGGCTTCCAATCTACACTGTCCCTCTCTATTTTTTCTTTGATTTGAAGAATACTTCATTGAGTTCTTTGTATTATCAACTGTGTTTTTTTCGATTAGGCAATTTAATCCACAACAAGCTTAGCTGATGCTAGGTCTTATACCAATGAGTCAAAGGTCCCAAGGCTCTCTTGCACCTTATTAAGCTAGGCGCCTCATTTTTTGGGATACCCTTCGTTTCTCAACCTTATGGTGAGGGCATCATATTTGATGGTCTGGACCTCTCAAGCTGAGCTAACCCAAGGTAAAAATCTTTTCCCGAGCTATAGAGGTCAAGAGTGAAATTTTATTGAATTTTCCTTCAAAGGAAAAAGTTACATAGAAAAAATCTTAAGCAAACTAATGAAACCATGAGAAAATGTCTAGATTGAGTCTGAGTTACTTTTCATTGTTACCTTCATCAAAATGTTGGATCTTATGAGTTTCCAATCCACTCTCAGCTAGGATCACTACTTCTGTTCCAAAGGCTAAGGAAAAAGGGGTTTTCCTAGTTGGTGATCTTGTTGTAGTTTTGTATGCTCACAAGATGCTTGGATGTTCTTCCACCCATAACCACTTTGAGGACTCAAGCCTTGTCTTGAGGTTTTTGAGCAATGTCTTGGTTGTAACCTTGACTTGCCCATTATCTTGAGGATGTATATGAAATCAATAATGATTTCATATTCCTATCTGGGAGCAAAACTCCTAGAATGTCAGGTTATCAAACTACTTCCATTGTCTTTCACTAAGACTCTTGGGATACTCTTCCGTAATCGTGGCTAGTGGTTGTACTTCGGACCACTTGGTGAAGTAGTCTATGGTCATGACTACAAACTTGTTCTGGCCCTTTCCAATGGGCATAGGTCGGTTATGTCGATTCCCACTATGCAAAAGGCCAGTAGCTAGTAATAGAGATAAGCTCCTGAGATGTTTTCTTAGATATGTTGGGGAAATTTTGGAATTTGTCACAACTCTTTGAAAACTTCAAGGCATCCTCTGCATAGTGGGCCAGTAGTACCCTTCGCATAAGATTTTAAAGTCANCGGGTTATCAAACTACTTCCATTGTCTATCACTAAGACTCTTGGGATACTCTTCCGTAATCGTGGCTAGTGGTTGTACTTCGAACCACTTGGTGAAGTAGTCTATGGTCATGACTAAAAACTTGTTCTGGCCCTTTCCAATGGGCATAGGTCGGTTATGTCGATTCCCACTATGCATAAGGCCAGTAGCTAGTAATAGAGATAAGCTCCTGAGATGTTTTCTTAGATATGTTGGGGAAATTTTGGAATTTGTCACAGCTCTTTGAAAACTTCAAGGCATCCTCTGCATAGTGGGCCAGTAGTACCCTTCGCATAAGATTTTAAAGTCAAGAACTCTTCCTCCCGAATGATTGCCACTAACTTCTTCCTAAATTTCCTTAAGGACATAGTCTGATTCTTCAGACTCTAGACAACACAGGTAAGGCAAAAAGAAACCTCTTTTATTAAGGATTTCGTCAATGATCGCATACCCTCTTGCCCTTCATTGCATCCTTTGAGCTAATCAACATGGCTAATATTTTATTAAGGATTACGCCAAGTATGCTAGATAATCAACATGGCAATTCTAAGGTCAAGAAATTTATGTAACACTGAAGTCTTTAAACTAAGCGATGTAGTCTTTGATCTTTGACAAGNTCTTGGGTCAATGCTCTCCACTTGGCGTGTTTCATGCGATGAATTGTTCTTAGTTAAGGCAATATAACACTCCTTGGCCATAACTTGATCTCCTCTAACTTCTCAAATCCTGTACTTAGTTGGGAACCGAAGGGGGAGCTGATATGTGGAAGGTATGGACTTCAAGGAATTCAAGGTTGGTCGTCCAAGGATGATGTTGCACCGATGGGCAATCCATCACTAGAAAGTCTACCAANCGCTAACTTCTTCCTAAATTTCCTTAAGGACATAGTCTGATTCTTCAGACTCTAGACAACACAGGTAAGGCAAAAAGAAACCTCCTTTATTAAGGATTTCGTCAATGATCGCATACCCTCTTGCCCTTCATTGCATCCTTTGAGCNAAGTGGGCTAATGGAGCTCTGATGGGCTTTAACTTATGCCTCCCAATGTCCAACTAACTGAAGGCATTGGTAAAAGTTATGTCAGCCGAGATCCAGTAGTTTACCAAGACTTTTCTCATGATTTTCTTTGATACAATCANATGCCAAGTATGCCAGATAATCAACATGGCAATTCTAAGGTCAAGAAATTTTATGTAACACTGAAGTCTTTAAACTAAGCGATGTAGTCTTTGATCTTTGACAAGNATGTGGGTGATTTGCATGGGGCTTTGCCCAATATATAGACTATTTTTCTTGAAAACCCAACTAATGGAGCTCTGATGGGCTTTAACTTATGCCTCCCAATGTCCAACTAACTGAAGGCATTGGTAAAAGTTATGTCAGCCGAGATCCAGTAGTTTACCAAGACTTTTCTCATGATTTTCTTTGATACAATCATCGAGATGACTAGGGGTTATCATGAGGGAAGCGAAGTCCCTTGAGGTCTTCATCAGAAAGGTAATTGGTTGGTCAATCTTCGGCATTCTTCCATGGTGTCCCTGGTTGATTTCCTTCGAATCCAAGTTTGTTCTAGCTCATTATGCTAATTTTCTTTCACCTTTATCTTCTAACCTCCACAAGATCACTTTTATTTCTCCTAGGAGCTGTTGATGCTCTCGATCTCCTAGAGTCTGGCTCCCCTTGAATAGAGCCCTATCTTCTCCACCATTGTGGTTTACAAAACTTCCCAAATATTGCCACTTGATTAGATCTTNGTTCATTATGCTAATTTGCTTTCACCTTTATCTTCTAACCTCCACGAGATCACTTTTATTTCTCCTAGGAGCTGTTGATGCTCTTGATCTCCTAGAGTCTGGCTCCCCTTGAATAGAGCCCTATCTTCTCCACCATTGTGGTTTACAAAACTTCCCAAATATTGCCACTTGATTAGATCTTCTATCTAATCCTTTAAGGTGGGATAGTCATCTGTGTTATGCCCATGATCTCAATAGAAGTGACAATATTTTTCCTTTTCTCTTTTGTGGGGTGGTGTTCTCAACCTCCCAGACCATTTTAAAATATTATCATTTTATACTTGGAAAAGGACCTGCTCCACCATTTTTTTTAATGGGNCTATCTAATCCTTTAAGGTGGGATAGTCATCTGTGTTATGCCCATGATCTCAATAGAAGTCACAATATTTTTCCTTTTCTCTTTTGTGGGGTGGTGTTCTCAACCTCCCAGACCATTTTAAAATATTATCATTTTATACTTGGAAAAGGACCTGCTCCACCATTTTGTTTAATGGGGTATACCCCTAAAACTTTTCTAATTGGAATAGAGATCACAATCTCTCCCTCGCTAGCGCTCGCTCAACTCATCCTTTCTTTGACGATGCAACATTCTCTGGTTTTTCTTGATCTTTCTTCTTCGAAGAACAATCTTTTCCAAAGAACAATCTTCTCCTTTTTTTGCATTCTCTAGTTTTTCTTAATCTTTCCTTTTCTTCTCCTTTTTTTTTTGTTTTTTTTGGATTTCAAGGTGTCATTTGCAACTATATGGATTTGAGCCCTTGACAAGAGTTCTAGCATAATTGTAGGAGGGGCCATGGACAATGCAAACAAAAATCTAGAGGGCAGGAGTCCTCCCATAGTCAATGTTCTTGATTTGCAATGACTCATCAGTAAAGCGTGCCATGTAATGACCCAAATGACTCTCCCTTCCCCTATTAAAGGTTAAACAGGTAGGTTGCTAGCTTTCTGTGAGTTCGTCCTCCTATGAAATGGGATAGGAAGGACTTACTCAATTTAACAAATGAAATGATGGCACCTGGGGGTGTCTATTGAACCAGAGTCGAGCTGATCCCTTGAGNGCGAACATGTCAATGTTGTTGCATAGTAATTTCTCCAATCTATCTCTAATATCTAGGGGAACTTGAATCCTAGGTGAGTTAACCGATTTGAGTCCCCCTCAAGTATATTGGGATTAGCTCTTCCATAGGGTGAGTTCTCATCTCTTCCTCTAGCTCTCNGCTGATCCCTTGAGAGTTGTGGGAAATACCCAACACATGATCTGGTATGGCATATTATGGAGGAACATCAGAGACTTGTAAATCTCCAGGTGATCCAAAGTGTCTTTCTTTCCATCAAAACTATCTATCAAAGGCAATTTAATTNGTTGATCCCTTGAGAGTTGTGGGAAATACCCAACACATGATCTGGTCTGGCATATTATGGAGGAACATCAGAGACTTGTAAATCTCCGGGTGATCCAAAGTGTCTTTCTTTCCATCAAAACTATCTATCAAAGGCAATTTAATTTTGTGGGCTAAGGATAATGTATTACATCATGTGAAAAAGGGGACTTTAGGCGTTGCACCATGTTTTCCACTATTTCAGGAACTTTGGCTTCACTCTATTGAGTACATCCCCAATGAGACCATTTACCTCTCTGAACTTTAGGTCTTAGGACCGGAATTCTTCCTGTTGGCGAGGGGTATTATTATGGCTATGCTCATCTCTGGTGTCTCTTGCCTAATTACGTTGGGTTTCCCATGAATGGGAGACCTGCTAAGGAGGTTGGCTAGTAAGCATCTAAATGTTCTTTTGGGTTTGTTGGGTAAACCCTCACTGGTTTGATTCATTCTATCGTAAATTATTTTCATATTAAACATTCTCTGAACTTCCTGTCGTTTATTGACTCAAAGGGGGATCTCTATGATGATTATCCCTTTCAAGTAGTTCTTGAGAATGCTGCTAAATGGGGATATTTTCTTTGGTAGCCTCTATCGATCTCATAGTCACCATTCAAAATTCCCTTTCTAGGGAAATTTTGAAAACGCAAATAATTCCTTGTCATTTCTCACAAACAACGCCAAATTGTTGATGCAAAATTTGTAGCAACCTCAATGTCAACTTGTCTGAGCTGCGATGAACTAAGAAAAAAGTAGGATAACAAAAGGGGAGCTCCAGACGGATTGGATTTCAACTGGCCTAAAAGCAAAGATAAGAAGCGGTCTATTCATTCCCCAATAGATCAGTATATCGCCCCTTCCCAGAGGTTGACCCTCTAATGCTCAAATCAATAGTTCGTAAGAGAAATGAGAATGAATATAGATTAAATGATACGTACCTGATGTGTTTCTCCCTGGGCTCTTTTTATAAGTCTAAGGATTAGCTTCCCTAAAAAAGTTGGACCCTGGATTCTTTTATCCTCTTTTTAGGAGGAGTGAGTCCTCTTGAGAGAGGATTATAGGCTCCCTCCTTGGTCCGTTGGGAGAATAAGACTCCTCTTAACTGAGGAGTCTTTGACTCCCTCATCCGCTGATATGGAGATTGAGACTCTGCCAAAGTGAGAGGTCTTAACTCCTTTAACCTATCACAAAGGGGGCGCCAACTGTTACTTTTGTCTGGGGAAGCATTTGATTTTTGAATTGCTTGTCAATACTCAGCCATGTGGGCAATGCTCATTACCAGGTCTGGCGTAGCTCAGAGCTCTTCCTATCCACGCTAAAGGTTTGTAACTCTTCCAACGGCAATTTTTGTATGGGATTCATCATGTTAGAACTTTCCCCAAAGTGTTTCTTACTGAGCTGATTTTTTCCTCATCATTAGGTAAATAAAAAATTATGAAAATTCCATTTGGCAAAGAAAATTAACCAAGTTTTCGCTATCATATGGTATTAAAAGAAAAAAAGGTAGCTTAACAATATTAATGAAACTGACTCAGAAGGTAACTAAGTATCTTTTGAAAAGTGGTGCTTGAAAACGTAAAACTTTAGTCACCATTTTCCGAAGGGTTTGTTTGGGCACGGAAGGAAGTTTGGTATAGAAGGTTGCTATTATTTTTTTCAAAATATAATTGTTTAAGATTAGGTTATCAAATTCAGGAACAATCATCACATTTTTGAATCGATGCTTAAAAAAAAAGTTTGAATTCAAGTTATATGGGTCTAGTTACAACCTTTCACCTTTTAGAGTATTTGAGATTGATTTTAAAATTTTAAAATAGATACCAAATTTTGAGATTGATTTCAACAATTCTTAAAGGTGTCAAATGGCCCAAAAAATTATGTCTTGGGGTACAATGCTGAAAAAAATTATTTCAATACCTAAACTTATCATATTGATATTTGAGTATTCTGGATTCTCAGGAAGAATTTTACCCATTAATTCAATTATTATTGGATTATCCTTTGCATTATTCCGACTGAATTTTGGAAAGCAAGGGTAACAGTTTTAATTATTAAGTTGAGTAATGCCTCGAAAAGGGTAAGCTGCATAAACATGAACTTGGACACACACACACACACACGTGAGAGAGATATAGAGAGAAGGAGAGAGAGAGAGTACCTCAAAGANAAGGTAAGCTGCTGAAACATGAACTTGGACACACAAACACACACACGTGAGAGAGATATAGAGAGAAGGAGAGAGAGAGAGTACCTCAAAGATCCTCTTGCCAAAATGGATGGTTAAAGCTGAGCTGAGCAAAAGAAACCTCAAACCCTCATTTGGAAAAAGGCCAAAAGAGGCGGCACCGGCGAGAAATGCCGGCGTATACACCACAAGCATGCCAGTTCTGCTGGAGAGTTTAATCTTTTGGGCTGCTTCTGATGACGATGAAGTTTTCCCAGAACCAATGTTCCAGAATTTTGAATACTGCATGTGCTTCCCTTTGATTTCCATGAACCCTGCATTGGCTAGTGATGCAAAACTCACCACAGACATTGCCGTGATGAGCAGAGATGGTGGTGGTGGGTATATCAATCTCAGCAGTGCAGATATCACCATTTTCACTCTCTCTCTCACACACACACAAGAGATGCGTGTTTTCAGATTAGAGAAAGGGGAGGAACTGGAGCAATGAGAGCCACAGTAATGGTTTACAGCCGAATCTCGCTAGTCCAACTGGCGAATGGTCGGAACGACACGGGTGGGGAACCAGAACTTGAAGTAGTCCCAGTATGTGGTCTCTAATATGCCATGTAATTGCGAAATATATATATGGTAGCATGTATTTATTTCTTTGAAAAGTATCTGGCTACATAAGTCTTTTTGAACTTTTACAAAATTAAAATGCAGTATACGTCACAGCACAAGCCTTTTGAAACTTAATTAGTTGACCTAGTGAGGATTTAATTTTAAGTTATTGTGTTTATTACATTTTTTGCGGTTAAGAATGTTTTAAATTTTAGTTTAAAGTTTATCCTACAACTAACATTAGCTTCCCAAATTTAATTGGAAAAATAGAATAGGCCCTTTAAGGGTGTGTTTAATGACTTTTAAAAAAGTATTACTAAAACTTCTGACTTCTTATAAGCATTTAAAAAAAAAGTAGGGTTAGTTCAAAAAAACAAAAGTAGTGTTTAAAACAATTTATTTTAATTACTTTCAAATAAATGAGAATAAATTTTATCACTTAAATAAGTAAGTAAATAAAAGTAAAAAAAAAAATTTTACTTCTTTAAAATCACTTCTCAACAAAACACTTAATCCCACCACCGTCGCCGCCACCACACCATCACCATCACCACCCACCACAACTACTACAACTACTGTAACCCCCCCCCACCACCGCCACTCCCCCACTACCATTGCCGCCACCGCACTACCACCTGTGCCACAACCATCACCACCACCTATTGTTACCACTGCCGCCCACTGCCACCAATACTATCACCCATTACCACAACCCACCACCAGTGCCACTATCACGGGGGTCAAATCTCACTCAAATTTTTGCCTCTTGATAACATTGAGATCTCACACTAAGTCTCAACCAATGCACACAATCTTTCACAGAAGTGCATACAATGAACAGAATGTAGGCAAGCAAACAACTCATAGTAGGCACACACGAATTACAAACCAAATCGCCAAACCTCTTTCTTCTTAGCAAGTTTAAAGGAAAACCTAGCTATGGGTCCACTTACAAAATGTTCACAAATGGTTGCAATACAGACCCTAGCATGCCAATATATACCATACAAAGTGGCGGTTACAAGCCCAACCGCGTATGCAATACAAAGTAACAATCAGATTCGCCCACAAAGCAACCAACAGCTTGATAACCATGGTTGAGTCCCTCTACCACTCTCACATATGCTAATCATGGCAAAGGGCAGTTGAAATTGTTGGCTAACTTAGCCAGGAACTGCCCACAACTGTTATGCATGCTGTGTGCAGATGCCATTAGCTCCCCCATGTTGTGCACATGGCAGCAACTACACAGAACCGCCCTACATGCCATCCATATGATAGAAACCATCATAAACCGCCACCATCTGCAGTGCACATGCCCCAGCTGTTCAAAACTACCTCAAATGTTGTGCACCTGCCTTCCTTGCGAGCCCACAACACCTGATTAGCCTTGTTTTTGTGTAAGCCATGCACAGCCCATGGCTTGGTCTTCCAAGCTTGCAAGCCCCACAATTCGAGCCACCCGACTAGTCTTGCTTTGTTGCATGCTTGTGCCCAACGTACCCATGCATGAGCTGCCTCCCCCAGCCATGTATGGGGCTTCAATCAACCAACTAATTGTGCCCGATGGTGCCCATGCATGAGCTGCCTTCCTCAGCTATACACGAGGCTTCAATTAACCTATTGGTCATGCCCAACATGCCCATGCATGTGCTACCTCCCTTAGCCATGCACAATGCCCATGCATTGGCCTCGCATCTCAAGTTTCAAACTTTGGAATGTCTTGCCTCCATCCATGGCAAAAAAAATTTGGGGTCGTGCCTTACTTTTGAGTGCCAAGGCTTAGGGGCATAGGAGTCCCTAGGGAAGCTGGCCTGGCAACCCCTTCACAGAGCACCCTCCCATCTATAGTAGCATTAGTTAGCGAAAATCTGATGATAACAATGGATATACTCTGAGCCAAGGAGTCATAATGACTTGAGGCAAGGAAATAGTCATTGCATGCCACTTGAGCCTTTGCAAACCACTTTGTAACCCAACAAAACACAAGTCCTAGTCCTTTAGGAAGCCAACTTTGCACAAAGGGTCTGCTTCACCAAGCAAAACCCAATTTGCCTAAGGCATGAGTGCCTTTGGGTGAGGCTACCACATGTCAATGCCAGGCCAAAAGTTAGGGGGGCTAACAAACCACCTCCACCAACAGAGTTCGACATCCTCGTCGCGAGGGTGTCTCTATTCTCCTTGATCTTATCAAGATCAACATTCTTCTTCCTTCGACGGGCTACTTTGATCAAGTTGTCCTTTAACTTGTCAAGCAACCCTTGCTTGGAATGAGAAACCCTATATGGAGCAGTACATCTAGTTCTCTATCTCGCCCCTTCATAAACAAATGATTATTACTGCCACACAGCCAACATCCAATAAGGGATACGAGCTAGAAGCTTTGCACCATGCTCTAGCTTGTTTTAGTGGTCAACTCCACATCCGAGTATAAGGGTCTTGGGGAGTTTTGAAGGCATAGACTCAACACAAAATTTCTGCCACCAACCTGGGCATCACAACCTTTTCAACAGGTTTGTTCCCCACCAAGGCCATGAGATATGTCATCTCGCCTTCTTGTAACCCAGAATCCACTTGCATAGTGGACAGTATCTCCACTTTCTATTTGCCATCTCTTTTACTTTTGGCTGCCACCTCTACAGGCACAAAGCATGTTGTTCCCTCATCTGAGATCAACATCCCATTTAAATATGACATCAGCGCCACCGTGGCCATTACGAAGAACTCATTCCCGAAGATGACATCAAAGTCATCCAAGGGTATAGTCATCCCGCTCACTCAGCCTTCCCATAGGCCACTTTCAGGTTTGTCTATGCATTGCCAAGCACTGCAATTGCTCCTGAATTGATAGCCTTGATCTTGCCAGAGTTCTCTTCCAACTGCAAGCCAAATGTTCTCACTTCCCTCTGCGCAATGAAGTTATGGGTGGCATCCATGTTCACCATGACCAAAACTTCATTCCTATTCACCCAAGCCTTCACAAACATAAGGCCTTTGCGGGGTTGCTAAATCTTTCCCATAGAAATTACGTTCAGCAATTGTAGAGGATTAACCCGAGTGGGGTATTCATCGTCACTGTTATCTCCATTTTTAGCGACAAGGGCAGTCAACTTCTCCCACTTGGGATAGTCTCTGGCACGATGAGGGTTGTTGCAAATAAAGCAATGAGAATCGAAGTTGTTCTTCTTTTGGTTGTTGTCTAGCTTTTTAGAATCAACTCTGTTCATCTTTTCCTTCCAATTTACCTCCTCTTTGTTTTTGGAAATCCCAATTTGGTCTTACTTGCTGCCACCTTTCCCACTTTTTCTTTTCAAAAAGACCTTGACTATTGTCCATTTTGAAGTCAACCAGGTCATCCGCAGCAGCAATGACAATGTGCATATCATGCATCCCCTGCCTACTCACCTCAGCCTATGCCCAACCTTGCAGACCGGACATGAAATTGAAGAGCTTGTCCTCCTTGGACATGTTCTTGCTATCCAGCATCAAAGAACTAAACTCCGTCACATAGTCACGAACAGTTCTCGTGTGCTTTAATTTTTGGAGTGACTACCTAGCAATCCACATCGTGTTGTTAGGAAGGAATTAATCCTTCAACTTCTTCTTTAATGTATCTCACATCTTAATTTTGTGTTGCCCCATAACAGCATCATCATCACTTAGAATTCGCCACCAAAGCTTGGCATCCCCAAAGAGGTACATGCTGGTTATGGTCAGGTTACTTTCTCTCCCAGAGGCATATGGGCAGCTTCAAAGTACTGCTACATGTCTCATAGAAATTTTTCCATCTCCTTGTCACTCTGGGTCCCTAAGAAGGCCTTAGGTTCAGGACCTTGATCTTTGAAGATGTCTCGCCCGCACCAGGTCAAAATTGCATAGCCATCTTCACCAAAGACATCTCATCTTCAAGAACCTTGAGATTAGTTTTGACAGCATTAGTGAAGGACAGAACGCCCTTCATCATCGCCACAATCTTAGAGTCGGTGTCTTTCACATAACTGTTGAAAGTCATTCTCAAGCCTACAACTTGGACAGAATGTTGCTCCATCTATATAGACACACTAGTTTGAGCATCACTAGTAGGGTTGTTTAGAAATTCCTCTAGAAGGATCACATATTCACGTAATTCAATAGTGTTTCCACCAGGCATGATAACAAATAATAGCTCTGATACCAACTGTCAAGGGGGTCAAATCTCACTCAAATTTTTGCCTCACGATGGAACTGAGATCCCACACTCAGTCTCAGCCAATGCTCACAATCATTCATGGAAATGCACACAATGAACAAAATGTAGGCAAGCAAACAACTCACAACAGGCACACACGAATTATAGACCAAATGGCCAAAAAAATTTCTTCTCAGAAAGCTTAAAGGAAACCTAATTATGGGTCTGCTTACAAAACGTGCCCAAACTCTCTTGGTTGCACTGCACACCCTAGCATGCCTATACATAGCATACAAAGTAGAGGTTACAATGTAAAACTCGAATAAATTTAAACTTTTTCCAAAAAAGGGTAAAACGGTAATTTTTCACTATAATGCAGAATTAAAATACATATTTTCATAGAGCTTAGATGATGTAACAGACTTCACCATTGGATTCGTCTCGCAAAATCGAGTTACCCAGACTATTTTCGTCAAATTCTAAGATAGTTAAATTTTTTACGTTTTACGAGACAATTAGGTGTCGAGCGACCTTACAAACGTCCCCAGATTGAAGGAAAGTTCAAATAAAAATAATTTGAACTTAAACTAGGATGAAATTAAGTTATTTTAGGACAAAAAATGGACCAGAGAATGGGGAACAC